GATTTATGAACAGCAGCAGCCTCGGGCGTGGCCTGCGGGTGGTGCCCAGAGCACACTTTCTCACTCTGGCCCCACTCAAGTTCCCCAGTTCACAGGGACCGAGTTCAGGACATCCTTCTGACCACCTGGCGTGCTGCAAATGTCAGCACCAAGGGAGCCCCGTTATCCTCGAGACCCCAGGGAGAAGTCACTGATGAATGCAACACAAACTAAAACAAAGATATGTTCAAAGAGTAAGTTTCAGTAATCACAACTTTTTATAGGCTCAAACCAGCCTTCAGCTTAGCTCCCTAAGTTCAGCTATACAGGTTAACCTCGTCTCACTGTGCTTCACAGATGCTGCATTTTTTTTTTTTTTTTTTTTTTTTACTAATTGAAGGCAAGACATTACCTCAGTGAAAAGATTATGACTTGCTTTATCGCAACATTCACTTTATTGTAGTGGTCTGGAACTGAACCTACAATATTTCTGAGGCATGCCTGTACAGGATGGCTGCCTTATAATAACATAACATTTTTTTCTGCTAGTTTAGCATTTACTTAACATTCTATCTCAGATCCCTTCAACAATTCCCATCCTACCAATATTTAACATTAGTAATAGTGTTAGTTAATTGACTTGTGAAACTAGACAGAAACAATGTGTTGCTCTCTCCCTAGAAGGTCCTCCAGCCCTCAGTTAATCCCTGAAGCCCCAGGCACAGGAGCTCACCACCATAGCCATGTTGTCTAGTCATTCCTGTTCCACAGCACACCTGTATAAGAACTGCAACACCCTTTCAACAAAACATGCAGGGAAGCCCAGCCAGTGTGGCTCAGTGGATTGAGTGTCATCCCATGGACTGAGAGGTTCCCAGTTAGATTCCTGGTCAGGGCACATGCCTGGGTTTTGGTCTCCATCCCCAGAAGGGGTCGTGCAGGAAGCAGCCAATCGATGTATCTCTCTCATATCAATGTTTCTTTCTACCTCTCTCTCCCTTCCTCTCCCTCTAAAAAAAAAAAATCAATGAAAACATATTAAAAAAAAAAACAGCCCTGGCCGGTTTGGCTCAGCGGTTAGAGCGTCGGCCTGTGGTCCTGAGAGACCCGGGTTCGGTTCCCGCTAAGGGCGCGTACCTCGGTTGCAGTTTGTCCCCGGCCCTGGTCGGTCGTGCGGGTGGCAGCCACTCGATGTGTTCCTTTTGCATCGATGTTTCTCTCTCTCCTTCTGTTCCTCTCTCTCCCTCCCACTCTACCTGAACAAAAAATGGAAAAATGTCCTCCGGTGAGGATTAAAAAAAAACAAAACAAAACAAAAAAACATGCAGAGATGAGGGGCAGGCAGTATTAAAAGAGAAAACTTTAGAAATTAACAACCTTAACAGTTATAATTAAGAGAGAAGATCCAAGACAGCATCTGTCATTTACTTTTGTGAGTACCAAAATGTAGGGCAATACAAAGATTAGAAAACAAGAACAATTCAAAACATGCTCCTACCAAACTCACATGTATTCAAAAGGACTGTAACTCCTGGGGTTGGCAAGGGTTCCAGGAATGGACACTTTGTCTTACTCTGCTGGTTAGAGTACAAATTGGCACCTCTTTTCTTAAAGGTAACCTGGCAATATATATTAAGAACTATAAAAATGTTCATATCATTAGAATCAGTCATTCCACCCTAGTAATAAATTTACACTAAAAAAATAACCATATATATTCACAATAATTTATGAATACAAATTTCCAACTTTGTGTTGCTTATATGCCCTTTGAACATCTGGAAACAACTCAAATGTCCAAGGGGTTGATGAATAAATTATGAGCCATTCACAGGATGGTACACTGTATAGCTATATGATTAAAAATGTTTTCAAATAAAATTTAATGACATGGGGTAACGATCATGACATAATGTTGAGTTGAATCGTAGGCTGTAAGACTAATATAGTATTATCATACTTTTTAAAAACAAGTATATACACATATGAATAAATAAAAGACCACAAGGAAACATGATCATAATTCCAACTGGTTATTTCTGGATGGCAGGTCATGACAGTTACCCTTTTCTGTGTTCCCCAGATTTTCTAAAACAGTGGTTCTCCTCAGTGTGCATCAAAATTTCCTGGATGCTTTGTTAAAACCTCCAGAGTCTTTGATTTAGTATAACTTGGGTTAGGCCTGAGAGTTTACATTTCTAACAAGTTCTTAAGGGATGATGATTCTTCCAGTCCAGGGACCACACTTAGCAAAGTCACTGTTTATTTGTAACAATAATCCTGGTAATCATTCTACCATGTATATGCATATCAAATAATCCCATTGTACACTTTATTTTTTCCAGCTTAATTTCTTTTTATTGAACTTACTGGGGAGACATTGGTTTGCAAAACCACATAGTTTTCAAGTGTACAACTCAATAAAATATCACCTGCACACCGTATCCTGTGCCCATCGCCCCAAGAAAGTCTCTTTCTGTCTCTATACCACCCTCTCTTTGCCCTCTTCCACCTGCCCCTTCACCCCTTTTCCCTCTGGAAAAAAAATATATACAATTATATTTGTCAATATTCATCAATAAAGTTAAAAATATTTTAAAATAAAAATATTTTCATTTTAAATAAAACATAAAAAAAACATTGAATCTATTCAGAGTATTTAAAAGAAATCTAAATTTTTAGATACTATTAGCAGTTCTGTTAAAGATATCAAAAATAAACCCACAAACCAATGAACACTTACCATTACCATCATCATCATCACAATTGCCGTTGTTTGTTGAACGTGTATAAAGTACAGATGTCACTTCAGGAGCTTTACATTATTCCAAGAAGCCACAACAATCTTGCATGGGAAGTATTACTATTATCTCACTTTATTTAATTAATTAATTTATAAGGACATTCTTGCATTTATCTTTAGATAGAGCAGGAGAGAGGGAGGAAGAGAGAGAGAGAGAAACATCGATGTGGGAGAGACGCATCGAGTGGTTGCCACCCACATGACCCCATCCGGGACCGGGGACAAACTACAACCGAGGGACATGCCCTTAGCGGGAACCAAACCCAGGTCTCTCTGGACCGCGGGCCGAAGCTCTAACCGCTGAGCCAAACTGGCCAGGGCACTAATATCTCACTTTAAAAAAGAAACAACCACTCATATTCAGGGACATTAAGACCCACACGCAAGGGCACATGAGTGGTGCATGGCAGAGCTGGCTTCACAGCACAACTTATCTGGCTCGTCCAAGGCCCTGCCTCACATTTCCTCTAGTGCACAAAGGTATTGGGATGGTCAAGTAGTCAACAATATTGTGACGTGGTGTAAAGAGCACTATTGGAGCCTCACCCCCACTCAACAGCCCAGAAGTCTAACACCAGAACCATTTTGTTAGGGCTGAAAGCTTTGTTGCTTCCAGGAATTTTCTTTTTAAATTAAAATACCCTGGCAGAAAAGCAAGTTAGGGTGATAACACTTTCATTAATGTGACAGAGTGAATATTTTTAACATGCTGCAGTAATATAGACACGCACTTCCCTATTCAACAGTCAAAATGCCATCCAGTCAAGGAAGTTTTTGTTTAAATTAAAATTAATTAAATTTAGAACTATATAAATTTATTTTATATCGTTTTTTAAAAGAATAGAATCTCATGTAATTACACATTGAACAAATCAGATGTAGGAAAATCACTCCATGATTACGAGAACTGAAAGTACCCAGGGGAAAGTTCGATCACAGAAAAGGCAGAATAGGTTGGAGTCTGGGTAGAGCATCACAGACAAGCCATCAGGGGCAGGTTAAGGGCAGTGTGCCAGGGCCAGGGTGTGAATGTTGGGGGCAGGAGTGGTATATTGTTATCCATATTTTTAAAAATGGAAACGTCTTCTCTATTGCAGAGAAACAGCCATGATTCATGTTTCAAACTGTCCGTGGCTGGTTATAAACACTTCTGAAAGGTCTCACATGTTTCTGACAGCTTCCAAAAGCTGCTTTTAGGTGAAGCCACAAATGGGAGGCAGTGGGATTACTCCCCCTCACTCCCATCTCCTGTCACCTCCCACCACGCCAGGGTACCAGCAGCACATGAAGACACTAGTTAGATATGTCTAACCAAGCAGACCTGAGACTCCTCCCTTTTCACCCACATCTGCACTTCATGAGATTCCATAAGCACAAATACGGGCATCTCTTGCTTTTGGAAAGTTCACGTTATACCACTATGATTTTAGGAAAGACCGACATTGGCACTTGTTTTGCTAACTGAATGAAATCCAAAGGGTATTCTCATTTTTACAAAAAAATGTGAAAAGTGAAAGCAGCATCCTGTGTTGTGTTTGCATGAACCTTACAGAGACAGGGCACACACCCAGCAGCCAGAGCAGCCCAGCCAAGATCCTTCCCTGGGAACCATCCTCGGCATCTCAGCATCAGACACCAGCGCTTTGAACAATGCCGGTGAGCATCTGTGCTTTATGTCTATTGATTCTGTTCGCAAGACAGGTCCTGATACATCAGAAAAGCCCAAGAGATGTCACAAGGGTGTTAAGCTTAGCGTAAAACAGAACATAGCAAGCAAATTTGGTAGGTTATTTTTTGGGTCTGGGAACACTTGAAAATCTTTCCATGTAAATTAATGTTAATTGCTTCTTTGCTTTAGGCCATTTAGGCTTACAAAAGTGTTCACAGGCAAGTTCTGCTGTCAGGTAGTGGGGAAAACCTGTATACTAGCTGGAACATTTCTTAAAGAAGGAATCGACCATAAACCAGATGCAGGTTCAACTCGAGAGCTCATTCAGGGAAATGTGGAGAGCGTGAGGTTAGTGGGAATGAAATCTTAAACATATCCAGATTTTTATCAAATTTTAATTTCCAAATTATGTAAAAAAAAGGGAACTGACTTCTTCGCTAACTTCATAGGGATTAAAATGCCAGACAAGTACAGACTGATCCAATCAGTGTGACTATGAGTACACAGGCTTAATAATCATCTTAATAACCTTCCCAAATGACAACTTACCTTTTTAATGCCCATCCTCCTCAAAAACTATGCCAGTGTTTCAACCAGTAGAAACAATGCTGACGTTTAAATGTCGCTGGAATGCATTACAAGGCACCTGCTCATATGGAAGTATGAAACAAAATTAACTCTATTTTTTATTTATATATAAATACCCTTGAATCCAATTTTATTAAAGGTTAAGTAAGGGATCAACCTACTACACAAAACCTAAACTTAAGTTATATGTAAAAATGGCTTGTTTCGGCTTTGCTTCCCAATCTAGAGCTTATATTTTTATTACTTCGGTGCCATGTGTTCCGCTCTCTGAAGAGGCTGTAGATGGTAACAGTGCAGATATCATGTCACATAAAATATGTGCTCAGATAATTAAGAATTCTGAGTGACACAAATGCTAAGTCTCCATGAAAAAGTGCAATAATTGCAACTGAATTTCCAGTGAATTCAAAATTATTCACATTAAAAAGGTGTCAAATGTTTTTTAGGTTATGTATTAACAATCTATTTTAATATGTTTTGATAGAACGTTTTTTCACTTATTTTCAAGTTTAACAGTAAGTTTAAAGTACAAGACAATGGAAAGAAAACATAGCTACCAAAAACTAGTATTTTCATGTGTGCAAATACACACATACACACACCCTACTTCAGAAATAGAGTAAAGGCAAAAACTACACATTATAGCAGAAAGAATATAGTAAGGGAAAACAGAAAAAAACTGTTGATTCTACTTCTATAGAAAACTATGCATTTTTTTCAATGTAAGTGATAAAGGGCAAATCAGTACCCCAAGAGTATCTAGTGCAAACACAGAGTTAAGAAACAGGCCAAAGACATAACGTAATATGTTTTAAAAACTTTAACAGTAAGACTTAAGAAAAATCAAAGCAAAATAACTATGTCACTCAAGGAAAAAAAAGTCTACCCCATTACCAAGGATCTACTTAGACAATTTACCAGTCCTAACATATGAAAAAGCATTACCTATAAATAACAGAGAGAAAATGGAGATTTAGCACAATTTGGGACTTGGGTGAGGATGATTACATCATGAATTTGTTTCCAGTATTTTTGGAAAGACAGCTATCTTGTGTTAAAAATATAAAATACTGTCACAGTTAACACACAATAAAAAAGAAAAGTACTATGATATTGTACTCAAGGGAAAACAATCAACAAATACAAAATCATTTTCAACGTGTGAAGGTGTTTCAAAAGTTCAATTTATTTACCCCCCGCTCCCCAGGGAAAGAGCTCAAATGAGCCCAGCCCTGGCGTGGCTCCAGGCACTGGCACTTCCAAACAACTCTTCCTACCGCTACTGTTCACAGTGTTGCCAGCCCCCAATTCCCAGCTTGCTACTGCAGTTCCCCAAGTTCAGGCTATCCTGGTATTCCTTATTCTCATCATAAACACTGTTATCAGAATTAATGTATTTTCATTGGCAAGTGTTATTTTAAACACAAAATAACCATTAGTAAATTTTTCATGTGTCACTTTATTTAATCTTCATGATTAATCTTCTGGAGAACTAAAGAGATGTTCAAAAGGAAAAAATTAGGGGGTAGTAATCTGACATCAATGAATATAAAAAAATGGTGCCCTATGGTTTAATCAAGAGCCAGGTGCCCCTAGTCAGTGACGTAAATTTAAAATAATAAACAAAGTCTAGGATCAACAAACTAAGCTCTTCACAGTGGCCAGAATCATGGCTTCGATTATTAAACAATTATACTTCATAAACTGTATCATGCACAGGACGTCCAGACTCACTTTCCATCAGACAATGTGTGACTTACTTGTGATGACCCAAACTCGCCATGGCCTTTCCTGCTTCTGAACCTACGCGGATGTCCACTCTCCTGCAATCCCTGACAAGAGGTACTTCATTCTGTGTCACCTCTTCAGAGAAGCCTGCCTAGACTTAACCCTGTGATCTTCATCTATCACAGCACTTAACTGTATGTTTCGTGGTACTTATTACATTTTATAATTATTTTGTTGGCTTTACTTTTTTCTTTGGTTTGTTTCTCTCACTTCACCGTCAGCTCCACGAACACAGAAGCCACGGTGGCCATGCCTGTGCGGAGCATGGCGCCACCTTGCACACCCCTCGTCTGGTGTCCTCCATGCCTCTTGCAGCGCCGTCTGCGGCGTCTGTCCTCCCACTAACAACAAACTGGAGCTATCACCGAATGGTCTCCACGTCAGCTTCCTAAACAGGATGGGCATTTTTCTTACTCGTTCTTTTTTCCCTGGTGTCTTGCATCTGATAGGGATGTACTTCTCAAATGAAATGAAGTTTGATCCCTCTAAAGATGGCTTTCATGTGATCCAGAGGAAAAGGGTTTTAAAAACGGCTGTACTCACCCAGCCCCTACCACAAATGCTGAGATGCCCCTTTGCCGCCACAACTGGCAGTGATGGCGCCAGAGACGCGAGCGAGCCGGGCACGGAAGGGCCCGGGAGGGAGGCTGGCAGCACTGTCACGAGCACTCGGAGGTGTGTCGAACTGGAAGACTATTAGTGTTTGTTTATATGTGCAATGCAATGTCACTCACACATGAAAAGGAAACACAATTCTTTGGCTTACGTGATAATCTAATAATTCAAAAATGGTGAAAATTCTTCTTTTGCATGTATGTACCAGAGACCAGCCTACATGCTTTATGTATATAATTTCAGGCCTTGAAGGAACCTACGAACTAAGGGGGTGCCTCACAGTTAAGGAAAATGCGGTCCAGAGAGAATTCATTACTTCCCAAAGGCCACAGAGCCACTATGTGGTAGAGCTGGGATTCATCTAAGGTGGCCCCTCTCCAGGCCACGGGCAATGGTCAGAAAGGACTGGTTTGTCTGTTTGCGCATTCTTTCCTTCTCCCAACTCTGACCATTTTGACTCTTTCCCCTCTCTTCCCTTCTAAATTAAAAAAAAAAAAATCAAAACAGTTATAACATACTTTGATGTGTGTTGGGGTCAGGACACCTGGCTGCTTATGCCTAAAATAGTACATAACCATGTTATAATATAAAGCATATAACACATCATATAAAATATCCTTAGTAGCAAATAAACAGATATATTTTCAGAATATATCTACAAATAGTAAATAAGTATCAAACAGAAATACACCAAATCACTAAATCACTACATAGTGGTCAAATTACATAGATGATGTTTGACTATTTTACAATAGAAAACAACAGGTATGATACCAACAAGGATAAAAAAAGTCCTATTAACTGTACAGCTAACTCAGGTTAAGCAGAAAATAATCTATTCTTGCTAAACATTTTCTCATGTACTGGAGTTTCCCATATTGGTAAGTCTACTGGACAGAAAATAATTATTCCAAGGCGTACCAGTCTCTTTCATGCGTGTGTATGTGCACACACACAGGTCCAGATATCACACTGGTTTTCAGAAGTTGTGTCCTATGCCACTGTATTAGTTTTCTAGGGCTGACATAATAAAATGTCACAAACTCGGTGGCTTAAGCAACAGAAATTTATTATCTCACAGTTCAGGAGGCTGGAAGTCTAAGAGCAAAGTGCCTGCAGACGGGGTTTCTCCTGAGGACGCTCTCCTTGGTTTGGCGGGTGGCTGCCCTCTCCCTGAGTCTGTCCTCACATGCTCTTCCCCGTGGCAGTGCATTCCTGGAGCTTCTGGGTGTGTTCAAATTCATAAGAAGAGCAAAGTGAATCAAGACCAACCCTAAGGACCTCATTTTAGCTTAATCAGCTCTTTGAATACATCAGGTGCTGGGGTTAAATTTCAACATATGAAGTTATGGAGGAACCCAATTCAGCCTATAACAGCCACTATCTTTATTTTCTTTCTTTTTTAATCCTCACTCAAGAAATTATGCTTATGAATTTTAGACAGAGGGGAAGGGGTAGAGAGGGAGAGAAACATCGATGTGTGAGAGAACACTGATTGGTTGCCTTCCATATGTGCCCCAACAGGGGATCACACCCGCACCCTAAGTGCCCTGACTGGGACTCTAACCCAAAACCTCTTGGTGCACAGGACAATGCTCCAACCTACTAAGCCACACCAGCCAGGGCTCTTTATTTTCTTAATAGCTAATAACTGGAATAGCAGAAAGTCTGCCCTACATATCTGGTTCTAATTAATTGAGGTACTTATTCAAAAACATTTGTTTGGTAGTTTGTGTCACAAAGATAAAGAAGAAACTGCTCCTAAGGTGCTCATGGTCTAGTGGTTCAAATGGATAAACAGGCCCTGGATGGTGTAACTAAGAGGTTAGAGCATTGGTCTGCACACTGAAGGGTTGTGGGTTCAATCCCTGGCCCTGGACCTGGGTTACAGGTTTGCTCTCCAGCCCTGGTCAGAGTGTGTTTGGAAGGCAACCAACAGATGTGTCTCTCTCACATTGATGTTTCCCTCTCAACTCTCTTTTAAAAAAATTAATGGAAAAAAATACCTTTGGGTGAGGATTAACAAATGGATAAACAGGACAAATAATCAGAACATAACAGGTACTTGACCCAGAATGCAAATGGCCACAGAGGTTAGGAATGACCGTCTAGGGAGGTGATACTTAACCAGATCTTGGTGGAGTCTCCAGAGAAAGGGAGAGATCTCTGTAGGCAAAAGCTAATGCTATAGTGAAAACTGGGAAGCATGGGAGATGAGCCTAGATTGTAGGCAGGGGCTAGAGCAGCAGGGGCCTTGCCAGCCACACCCAGAAGCTGGGGCTTTATCCACACCTGCTGTGAGCCAAGGCAGGCGTGGGAGCGGGAACCCTCCATTTGCTGACAGAGCCAGAGCGCTCAGGCACTGTGTGCAGAGGGCAGTCTTCAATGCACAGGCACACTGGTACGTGGCCTCGAGCTGCTTCCCGAGCAATTTGTTCCTGATGACAGTTGAATGATTTATATAATGTTCTTTATAAATCTGGCTTGACCTGAGACTAACTCTTTAATGTCAACATGCTCCTAGACTTGGGTGAGAAATGGGTGGGAAACAGCTCCGTGTGCCAATAAATGCAACGGGTAAACCATGCTCTCGTGTTCCTTAGCCATGTCTATGAATGGCCATTCAAGTCCCAGACGCAACATTACTGACACAGGCTTTGTACACGTCATGTACCCTCTCTGTGTCTCAGCTACCTCATCTGCAAGGTGATGACTGTGTTTACCTCACAATGTTACTAAAGAATTAAAATGCTTTAAAAATGTAAGACTTTTATAACAGTGCCTGGCACACAGAAAGTACAACAAAAACATTTGAAAGTATTTCATTACTGCCACGGTGACTGCTGTCACTACTCTACTATTGCAACAAAAAAAGGTAACTGAGAACTCCCGATCTAGAAAACTGATTTGAAAAAGTATAACTGATACCAGGGCTTTTACTTGGCAAATGCATGCAAGGTGCCACCAACCTAAGCACAGAATTCAGGAGCAACAGCGCAAGAGCACAGTGCCAGGGGTGTTCACTGTGATGTCCCTGTGGAATGCCAGAGTGAAAAGAGCACCAGGAAGTGAGGCATACAGTCTAGAACATCAGGCAAGAGGAGTAGCCAGGCTGAGGATATGGAGTTAGAACTCCTGAATAAAATGATTCACGATTAAAGTTAAGCATCTTCAAGAAATAGGCCTAGATAACATTTATAGATGGGCCAAACAGACAATATCCCACCCAACAGAGATTAGAGAGAACCAAGCTTTCCGAAGAGCCCACTATTTTTAGATAACTCAAACTACTCTATCTTCATATAAAATATATCATTTATTATATTGACATAATTTGAGCAGGGGAGTAAAGGGCATGGCAATCTGACTTCATTATTTTTATTGGCATTTTCAACCATGAGTACTATTTTGGTGGGTTGGAAAGAGGATACAATCAGATATAAAGGTTAAATTTCTCTTTAAGTATACCATATCTAGTATTTTGTCATCCTTTAGATGAAATATTTCCTCAAAAATGTTGCTGTCACTTTAACTCTTTAAACTGTGTATATTCTTGAAAGAAGTACTTCTCCTTTGTAAATGTTAAGGCCCCATCTTCAGGGGGCTGCCAGGTTGGCACCAAATTATACACAACAGAGCAAAAACTACCTCAGTACACAATCCAAGGAAGCATAGGTGCGGGAGCTCGGGTGGCAGTTTTCAGATGCTTTCTGATGATGAATGATAATATTAAGCTCCTACTCAAAGGCAGCATACAATAATTCTCCATTCCCTGATATTAAAAACCTATAAAGGAACATAAAGCTAGACTCAAACTATAATTTACCCCCTCTGGTTAAAGCATGCTTCTGAGATCGCCAGCCTCAAAAATGAATGAGATGCTTCAGACAGGGTGTCAGGTGTCAGGGCTGATGCAGGACAGAGGAGAGAGGGCCTATACAGATACAGACACAGGGCGGGGCAGACACAGTGCTGGGGTAAGGAAGGGGGAAGAATGCAGGCTGAGATGGCACCAAAAGGAACCTTAATATGGAACCACTATTCTTCCATATTGGTAAATCTGTACTATTGATGTTAGATTTTTAAAACACTTATTCCTAAGGTAACTTAAGAGACATACAGCTGAATAGGATAAAATAAAAGCATTTTTCTATATTCCCCCTGCTTTAAAACCCACTGGGATAAGGGAGAAATTATTTCTTAAATTAAAGAAGTAAAAAGTCACCACTTCATATTATAAACTATAATAGTAGTTGAATAGAGAATTTAGACTAAAAAGAGGGAGAACATTTGTAGTTGACACATAGCTCCTCAGAATTCAGACGTAATGTAGATTTTTCTAACAGTCCTAGGGAACCCAGTCAACAGGAAATGCAAATCAAAACCACAATGAGGTAGACCGCACACCTGTTACAATGCCTGTATTCCAAAGACAACGACAATACTTATTGGGGATGTAATGTACAGCATGGAGAATACAGTTAATGATACTGTATTGTATATTTGAAAGTTGCTAAGAGAGTAAATCTTAAATGTCCTCATCACAAGAAAAACATTTTTTAACTAAGTGTAGTGATGGCTGTCATTATGCTGTGCATCTGAAGCTAATCTCATATGTCAATTATACCTTAATTTTAAAAAAATCAAATGCGTCTCTGGTCGAAGCACTGATATCTAAGGGTGCAGGCTTGCTAGAAGGACAAAGGAGCAGGGACGGTCCCCGGAGAAACCCTGTTCCACAGCAAACAGAAGAGGAGCAGCAGGGGAAGCTGCAAGCAGCCACCTGGACTGTCTGAGAGGGAAAGTGAGGGTCCAGCTTCTGCACCCTGAGAACCTGAGTTCCACTGCTGGCCCCAAGTGGCTAAGGACTGAAAGTGAGAGGGATGATGCACAAGCAAATACACAGTTCAGATGAGAAATGGGACTGATGCATAGACAACTCATGTTATGGAAGCAACGACAATGAAATACAGCTATATGCAACAATGGCGATAAATCTCAAAACATAATGTAAAGAAAAAGAAGCCAGAAAACATCCCGAATGGTTCCATTTCTATAAAATTCAAAAACATCAAAACTAAGTAATCATATTAGAAATTATCAGAATGGTTACCTTGGGGCAGAAGGAAAGGCCTAATGATTGACTGAAGCCTTGAGACTGGTGATACTCTATTTCTTGACCTGTGTTGTTGTTGCTTGAGGTTTTGCAGGTTGATAATTCACTGAGTTATAAGCTTATGTTGCATGAACTTTTATGTATGTGTGTTATGCTGCTTTAATAAATATAGTGGGGGAAGAGAGAGGAAAAGGACAAAAGAGAGGAAGACAAAAATAGATTAAGCAATCCTATAGGCATCTTAGTAAAAGCAAGTCACCAAGCAGAAAAATTAGGCTGACCTCTGATATCTCCCTAGCAACATATAATGTCAAAAGACAATGTTTACAAAGGTCAAGGAAAAGAAAAGTTTATTCGAGATTTTTATACCCAAATTATCTATCACATAAGAAAGGGCACATATTCTCAAGTGTGCAAAAACTCATGATATAAAATAACCTCTTTGAAAAGCAACTACTTGACAATCAAATCCAGCCAATTCAACAAGTAAAAAAGCCATCAACCTATTTTAAAATGTAGTTTAACAATATAATTACATATATTTATGTACAAAACATATATAATATATATATAATGTATATCTATGAATAAAATGCCTTAAGTTGTCTATAATTTTTACTTTTAGAGTAATCTTTTAGTGAATATAAAATATTCATGTATTAATTTATATATATATAATGTAAAATACTATAGTTTAGTAAATATTAAGAAATTAATACCTTAATATTCTCAAGTGATAAAACTTTAGTAATTTCATTTAATTTTTCTTTCTTAAATTCAAATAAAACTGTTTAAAAAAATATCATTTTTTCACTTAGCAATATAGTTGTCTGTCTCACCCTTCTGTGTCAGACATCATGAATGATGGACATCAAAACATAGTAATTGTCATTTCAAGTTGGTGGACTTTGAGTGAAGTTTTTGAGCTTTATTAATGTTTTATAGTTCTTTAAAACAATAAATATGAATTACTGTATAACAGCAATACAATGTATTTTTCCAAACTGAATTAGTTGATACCAAAATATGGTGACACTTCTCCTTTACCCACCACCCTCCACACCCCACAAAATTTAATGTACCTAAAACACAGACCTTGTTCTATACATTCTGTACCCACTGCATAATGTGAACACCAAGGTTCAAGAAAGATCAGAACCCGAATGACAAAATGGTTGGACTGTTTTACAAACAAGATGACATGCTCTGATAACAAAACTTGTTTTTCTGTTATCAAAACCAACATTCTAAACTCCAGAATAATTTCTCTAACAATCTACCTGGAGTTAACGAGGGAAGACTTTCAAGCAACTAATTAGAAGACTTCAAGCCACTTGGTGGTTTCCACAGAGGAGCCCACCAATTAAGGAGCAGGCTGCTACCCTCTCACCTGCAGTGACAGCGGCCGGCTCCTCAAAGTCGACTCACCTGGGTGGGAAGAGTAAACATGTTCTGCCTGGCTGCATCTTTTGTAATAGTTACATGGAGTAGATAACTGGAATGAAGACGAGTCCTCCAAAGCACCCAGTTCAATTTTTATATTAAACAAGAACAAGAGTTACCTTTTCTGACATAAATATGTGTTTCTAGCACATTCAGAAACACAATAAAGGCCAATTAAAGTTCAAACAAAAGTAGCAAGAATTTTAGAATTCATTTTTAAACTGCAGAAGGCTGTTCAATTGTGGATTACAACCACAAGCACCTAAGTACTACTGATCATGCAAGGTAAAAATGGAGGCTGGAATTTCAAAGTTTGAATCTCTCAAAATATACAAAACATCTAACGTGAGCACTGTTTTGTCACAAGTTTCAGGAGACTCTTAAGGAGAACTTTTTGAATTTTTCACTCTAGATCCATACTGTGAACCGGGCCCTGAAATTTCCAGTGATGTTATGAGTAAACATTAAAGTGATAAAATAAGAAAAAATTTAAAACAGTTTCAAGACACCACTAGCCACACGATGTCGTGCTAATGACTTCTACTTTTAGACGACAAGTTGTGCTATTTAAACAACCAAATCTCACGGCAGACATCCTTCAGGAACAGGTACCAAGGCAACAGTGCTGATGCCAGGCTGTGGGGAGCTGTGGGGGACTGGAGGAGGAAGAACGCACTCGATATACTGATAACGATCCAAAACACCACCACACACTTAAAAAATTATCTGAAGAAAACTAAAAACTGGACTTAATTCAACATCCATCTGGCATCTCTGAAAAAGAAAGAAATAACTTAGGGCTCCCTGTCTTTAACACATTTGATATTTCAACACTACAAGTAAAGATGATCCAAGTCCTCTAAATGAGAGGTTTTGTGCTTGACATTTTCATGATATTTCCGGCCATGTCATCTTTGGTTGATTACTCAGGTATGAAATATTAAGCTAGGAGTCCCCATAACTCACTCCTGTTAGAATGGCTAAAAGCATGACATTGCTGCTGTCAAAATACGTCATAAAAGACTCCTATTTCCAAACTGTTTTATGTCAAAAACTATTCATCATAATATCAATATATAGAATGAAGAAAGCAGGCAATATAAACTTCATTTCTCCCCAATATGAATAATGAAAATCAGTCATACATACACCTACATCCTTCATTAAACCCAGACCCAAATCCCAGTGGAATTAGGATCTGACGTCAAGAGGCACCACAAAACCAGCCAGCTTACATGATCCTGGAGTATGGGAAGTGGGCCTGCCAAGAAGTGGGGGAAAGAAATCATTTTCACATGTGATAGGCTAAATGGTGCTTCCCCCTAATATGTCCATATCCGAATCTCGGGAACTTGGGATTATGAGCTTTTATGGCAGAAGGAATTGTGTAAATGTGACTAAGGATCCTCAGGTGGCAGACTGTCTGGGGGCTTGACCTCATCACAGTGGACCTTCTCTGAGGGATGGGGAGGAGCCAGTGAGAGAAGAGAAGGCAACGTCATGACGGAAGCAGAGGATGGAGGGCCAAGGCCAAGGTATGCAGACAATCACTAGAGTGGGAAAGACAAGGAAACAGATTCTTCCCTAGTCTCCTGAAGGAACCAACTCAGCCAATACCTGGATTTTAACTCAGTGATTTCTGACCTCCAGGACAGTCAGTAAGACTGTTTTAAGCTACGAAGCTGTAATAACCTGTTACAGCAGCAGTGGGAAACTACTACACTAGCAAAAGCATTCTGGGTGCTTAACTGCATTTGCTCTTTCAACTATTGACAATGTCACCTTATTCAGCGTAGCAAACTTTTCAAGTTCTCAATGTACTATTCATAAATGTCTATGAGAATTGTTGCCTCCTGTTACATAAAGTGAGAGCAACATAATACATTTTTATCTCAGTAGAGAAAAATTACAAATATGTGTTTTTTCCCCACACAGGCTACAAAATATTATTAGCAACATTACAAAAACAAAAACATACTTCCATTTCAGACCATGAAATGGGCATTCTTCTGTTAAATGTCCATCAACTTGCCCTTATTTCTATTGATTCTTCTTCTATACATGGTAGAAAGTTTCAGTTAAACAGAAGAAACCTCACAAGCAAATGGATAAACCCAAGCCCTGGCTACCCAGACTGGGGAATGGAGCAGTAGGGACACAAAGGCAAGAAAGTTAGAGGAAAACTAACTGTATGTCAGTTACTTGCTCACTACTCTCTTCCTTACTCATCATAATCACTGGAGAGCAAAGATAAGGGCACAATGTCTACAAATGATAAAGACTCTCACAGGTTGTAAAGTCAGGAGTTTAGGTTAGTTAGAGGTTTCTTTCTAAAATTTTTATGGCATTTATTTCACAGGGACTCTGGGCTTGGTCATGTGACTTGCTTTGGCCAATGGAACCTAAGCAAATATGAACAAGCATAGCCTATGCACCTGGGCTCATATCACATGAAGAACCCAACCTAGCCTTCCAGAGGATGCAAGTCACATGGAAGGGCACTGCTGAGCCTTGGCAGAGAGCCTGCCAGCCACCAGACATGCGAGTGATGTGAATAAAGCCATCCTAGATCATCCAGCCACCAGCCAGCCCTGGGCTAACTCCAGACCCACGACAGAGCCAATACATTTCAGCTGAGACAGTTCTGACCAACAGAATTTTGAGCAAATAAGATAGCTTTGTTTTAATCTACTACGTGTTGTGGTAGTTTGTTATGCAGTAAAAGTTATACTCTTTACACTATAAAACTAACAAAAACACAGTATAGAAATTTGGGGGTGGAAATAACATGTAGGAAGAAAAAAGCATCTGGAATCCCAACATACAGACATAAATCAATAACTATTTGATGAATCCATTTTAGGTAGCTATGTAAATATCCTCTATAATTAGAATAACACCATAAATTCAAAATTATATGCTAAGCATTTCCAGGTCATTTTACCATAGTTTAACCATTATTATATCATTGGATTTTAAGGTGGCTTTAAAATTTCACTATTATCAATATTGCTGCAAAAAACACAGTTGTACAAACTTTGAGTTCTTGATTACTCCTTGAGGACAGATTCCCAGAAAGGAACACACTGTCACAAAACAGAGTAGAAAGCTTTTACAGTACTGGATATATATGGTTCAAATACAGTCTAGGCCAACCACACCAATTTACAATCCAAGAGCACTGTATACAAATGTCCATTTCACCAAACCCTCAATCACTTTGTGTAATTTTCTAAAATCTTTGTTAAGTGGTACACTAAAAAAAATGGCATCTTGTTTTAATTTGCATTTGTTCGATTACGAATCAGGTTGATCAGTTTTTCATATGGTTGGCCATCAATCTTCCCTTGTAGAACATCTGTTCTTGCTAATTTTTTCATACTGAGGTATGTAAAGTAGCTCTGCTAACACCTTTAAGAGCAGATAAGATAAACTGATATTGTGAAGCCAAGGCAGACATTTTTAACCCTGGGTCCAACGATTAAGTATATACATTTTCTTCAAGAGAGAATCCATAGCTTTCATCAGCTTCTGTAAGTGGTCCATGATCTCATAAACACAGAAACAACTGGGCTCAATGAGGAAGAACAGTATCAGCAGGTTTCACCATGGAGCCACCCAAAGCTGTCCAACCAGTCCCAGAATACCTAACTAAGTAAAAGGCAGAAGTTTGGATGGATG